AAGAGAGATCCAAAGAGAGATACTTACAAGGCAAAACCTACCCAACGCAACCTGCTAAACCTGAAAGAAGCTAAAGCCAATGCACAGAGGACAGCAAGGATCTGTGCCAATGAATACTGGGTAGAGCTCAGTGAAAATATTCAGCTCGCAGCCCAAGTGGGCAACATAAGAGGGATGTACGAAGGAATCAAAAAGGCTCTCGGACCCTCCCAAAACAAGACAGCACCTCTGAAATCAACCACTGGGGAAATTATCACAGACAAGTGCCAACAAATGCACAGATGGGTTGAACATTACTCTGAGCTCTACGCCACAACAAGCTCAGTCTCTGACTCAGCCCTTAAGGCCATCATACAATTACCCACAATGAACGAGCTAGATGAAACACCCACCCTTTCAGAGCTCAACAAAGCCATAGACAACATTGCTGCCCGCAAAGCACCCGGATGCGATGGTATCCCCCAGATCTTCTAAAACAATGCAAAACTACTCTAATCCAACCTCTACACGAACTGCTTTGCAAATGTTGGCAAGAAGGTGCTGTGCCACAAGACCTGCGGGATGCTAAAATCATTACACTGTATAAGAACAAAGGTGACAGAAGCGACTGCAACAATTACAGGGGAATCTCCCTCTTTAGTATTGTAGTCAAAGTTTTTGCTCGAGTGATACTTCCCAGGCTACAAAAACTCGCTGATCGGGTCTATCCAGAATCACAATGCGGCTTTCTCTCAGGGAGATTCACGATTGACATGATTTTCTCCATCCGCCAACTGCAGGAAAAGTGCAGAGAACAAAGGATGCCTTTGTACATTGCGTTTATTGAACTGACAAAGGCCTTCGATCTAGTTAGCAGAGATGACCTCTTTAAAATCTTACAGTTAATAGGCTGTCCACCCAAACTACTAAATGTAATCATATCTTTCCACCAAAATATGATGGGTACAGTGCAATTCAACGGTGCCAGCTCTGAAAGTTTCAGTATAAACAGCGGAGTTAAACAAGGATGTGTCCTAACCCTAACCCCCTTTGGAATACTATTTTCACTGCTAATCCACAACGCGTTTGACAAATCCACTGAAGGCATCTATCTCCATTCCAGATTTGATGGCAAACTCTTAAATATTGCCAGAGGGCCACACCTAAAATCAGAGCCACCCTCGTAAGAGATATGCTATTCGCGGATGACGCAGCGGTAGTGACACACACGCAAGAGGAACTTCAGTCACTAATGTCCCGCTTCTCTCAGGCCTGTAAAGAATATGGCTTGACTATTAGCACGAAGAAAACAAATGTTATGGGACCACCTACTACAGCACCACCCTCCATCCTCATAGACGATAACAAGCTGGACGCGTAAACGAATTCTGCTATCTGGGATCCACAATTACAGATGACCTGTCTCTAGAAGAGGAGTTGAAAAAACGCATAGGGAAGGCTGCCTCGACATTCGCTAGACTCAGACCAAGAGTTTGGGAAAACGATAAGCTAACTATGGTGACCAAAATGGAAGTCTACAAGGCATGCGTTATGAGTACACTGCTGTATGGCAGTGAATCATGGACCACCTACGCAAAGCAAGAGAGAAAACTGAACTCATTCCATTTGAGATGTCTCCGTAGGATCTTGAATGTCACATGGAAAGAAAAAGTGTGCAATACTGAGATCCTTGCGAGATCAGGTATTCCCAGCATCTTTACAGCAGTAAGACAACGCCGTTTGCGCTGGCTTGGACATGTTCGCCGGATGGAGGACAAGCGCATCCCGAAAGTCATCCTCTATGGTCAACTCGCGACTGGCACAAGAAAAACTGGTCGCCCCCAGCTCCGTTACATAGATGTAATAAAACGTGACCTCTAATCAGTGAACATCAATACTGACAATTGGGAAGACATATCTCTAGACCACAACAGGTGGAGAGAGACAGTGACCAAGAAAGCTATGGACAGTGAAAGTACATGGGTCTCAGCCCAGGAAGAAAAACGCACAATCCGAAAAACGGCTAGCTCCTCTACCACCGAAGCAAAAGCCACCTTAACCTGTGCTATCTGTGGACGGGAGTGTCTCTCCAAAATAGGGCTCCACAGCCACATGAGGAAGTGTGCTCTGAGATGAACCATAGTCGTTTTACGACTGAAGGAGGCCAATGAGAGTATGTGGGGGGGGGGGGGTCTAAAAGATTTACTTTAAAACAATACGGTTGAATGAGCTAGTCTAGCTTAAAATGTTCATGCGTATCTACGTCTTGAGAAGTTCAGAATGGTATCAAACAAAAATATGTACAGCTCCTTTTGTCTCAGTGCGACTCCAAGCGTTGTGTATCACTGGCACACTGATAGCGTGGGGAGTATTTTATCCAATGGCCACCTGATACTTCACAAAAACAACGCGTCACTCAAATAATAATCAATAAAATAGAAATAGATTTGTTGGACACTCTGTGTGTGTGTGTTTGTGTGTATGCAGTGTTCCTGCCTTTAAATAAATTCAAAGAGAGATTTTTTTTTTTTACAAAGCAAATATCAACGCGCACTGTCTCACACTGTCTATCTGGGTAGAATCTTGTACACTTTTTTTCTCCCACTTCACATTCTTGGTAAAAGTTGAAACTTTTCACAATGCATGAATGAGATAATTAATTAATTTTGTTTTATAAAGAGACAGTTAAGCTAAGCTAAGGGGACATAAGAATTAGGTCGCTTGCTAACATTTTTAAACCTACAATAGACTTTCTTTTTTAAGTAGTTGGCTAGCTCAGTGGCTAACAAGTCGGCTTTCCATCGAATTCAGACTCTTAAAAAGGCACCTTATTGGTTGGACCATAGCGCACTGAGCATGCTATAATAATGAAAGTTGCGATTTTACAAAAACATTTAATAGAAATATTTCAAATCGTAAAATTTTATAATTGTTAGCCTAGATCAACTAAAAATGATTGATTCAAAATAATTAATACCATTTCACTTAATTTAAATTTTAAAAATGTATTTTATAGACCTATGTTTACGTGTTTTGATCTCACATGAAAATATACAATTGTAGTTCTACGTGTTGCCCCACAGAGTTCATGTGGACTGTTTAATACATTCAAATCGGGAAGTGGTAAGAAACAATGGGAGTATGGCGTATTTTCGTATTTTCGGGTCTATTGTTTGGGGTAGGACATAGACCCCTTATGCACTGGCGATCCAATTGGGGGGGGGGGGCAGTAGTTATTAGTAATATATTATTTTGTTTGATACCGAAAAAGGGGAAGTACTTCTACCTTCTGAGAGATATAGTTGTAAGTGCAGAGTTCTTTCCTTTACATAAGCTTTGTTGTTTTTTTTAAAGAATTTAAAAAAAATATTTTGCTTGCTATATTCCTAGGTGCAATCTATTTATAGAAAAATACGACCAGGAAAAGTGAATGAAAATATTATTGTGACAGAGATCAATGAATTCGACGGTCAAATTACTGAAGTCCTGAAAGAAATTCCAAAGGAACAGAAGTCGAAAGTTGATAAAGCTACGACATTACTGCGAAAAGGGGAACAACTGGGTAAAACATTGGAAGGTGGACAGATCAACAAAGCTTTTGAATGACAAAAATTGTGTATACCTTTTTACAATGTTAATATAATATATATGTATCAAAAGTGAGTGTGTGTTTTGTGTGTGTATGTGTGTGAGAGAGAGAGAGAATATTAAAATTATAACGACTAACGGTCCAACATGTATGTTGAGCGACATGCCATCCGTATTACGCCATATATATATATATAAAACAAAGAGACTTGGATACAATAGCAAGGGAGTAACTTAACATGAGCTCAGGTCTGAAAGGGGAACTTTTTTTCTTTACTTTAACTCAGCATATTTGGTAGGCTTATTAGTGTTCAAGAATTGAATATTCCTCAATTTTTTTTCTGATTAATGTAAAACTAATTCTAATAATGATTTGTTATTATACGCATGAAGTTGTGAGCTATTTACAACAACTGAAGTCAATATTTGTATAATTTTGACTAAATTTATTAGAGTTGAATATGAGTTAAATACGACATAATACTTGCTTGTAACTGATGCATACGAAAACGCTTATATTATATGTCTCTAAATTTGTGAAATGTAGCCTACATATATGAGATATGTAGGCCTAGAATATTGTGTCATCCTATATAAATGAAATATAACGTGAGAAAATGGAAACCTGAAAACAATTATTAATTGTGACATTTTTAGAGGTTCCATAATTCATACATAAATCTCTACTTTTTGTTAATGATGCCAATTTTTGTTTATTCTGTGATATTTTTTTCCATATGTGTAATATCAGTGATATCATAACAAAGTCTTTCATTTTATTTTAAATAACAGTAACAACGATGACCCTCAGTTTCTGTCGATTCTCTGCTGTTAAGAGTAAAATACATCAACCTGAGCATTTTACAATCTATACATATGAAAATGAAAGTGAAATAGTCAAAATGTTTCAAAATCTGTTAACAATTTATAGCAGTTTTAGTAGCATGGGCTTTTAGAATTTCATTTTAATATATACATATATATGTGTATATGTTTATTGTAACACCTTTAACAAGAGTATTATGCTTTGAGAAAGTTGCTTATAATGTGGTAGGCCTGCAACAGTAGGCCCAATGCTCTTTTACTTGCACACATAATTTTTTCTCTTCTCTGGGGGAGAGGGGAGAGGGGATATAGAATGTAAAGATTATAAAAGATATAACCAGGACTCTAAGGTAACTTTCTTTCCATCGGTTGACATGACAATTATTTTTTTTAATTAGTTTCCATAGACATTCGCTTTCCAAACATTTGTTAACATCATCTTTATTGTTGTCTTATTGTGTTTATTATTACAGTTGTCATTATCACACACACATGTTAGTCATTGATTAACATTCACGACTAGAATGACCTAGAGACACTCGTAGGGCGTAATCTTTTTTTAAGTAATGTCTCACGTCTGTATTTAATAATAAGATAAGAAACACATGCACACGTACATATTTAAATTCACAATGCATATATATTTAATTATCAGTGTAACAAAGTAGCAGTTAATGCATAACAAGGAAATAATAAGGATAAGATGCTGCCAATGGACTAGATACTGTAGTAAAAATTGTTATTGTTATTTAAGTATTGTTTTGTGTAAATAGCTAGAATCTAATAAATGATAATTAAAGCTGTAATTTCATATAATAATAATTTGTTGTGTTGTTGATATAATTTTCTTTATTCAGAAGGCCTAATAATAAATAATGCAATCCATTGACTCAGGGGCGGACTGGGTGTCAAAATTGGCCATAGCATTTGTATAATATCAGGCCCACAGATCACTTGCCATATGATTTTAAATATGTTAAACTTGATGATGCAAAATGCAAGTATTATATTTTTACACGAACTTTGACTGAGAAGCTATATGAAATCACCATGTATTTTTTTTATTTACACTAGGCTTACAAGGTTATCCTTAATTAATGCTATTTACTACTTTATTATGCTTCCATTTTTAAGAAGCTCATTCTTTATTATTTATCAAGTAGCTTCCGCAAGGTTGTCATGTCATATACTCACTCCACTACCTATGAAATGCTACCTAATGACATGTAGCACAAATGGCTTCTGACAACCAGTCCAACTTCTGGATCTTCACGTTTGGCTCAGATATTGAGTCCTGCAGAACAGTTTTCACTAACAGAAGAAGTTAAGGCCCAGAACTGGCGCCTAATCAAGTAAGATTCGGGCAGGAGGGTCTAGTTAGCCATTGCTGCTTACCCACCTATGTGAAGGAAAACTGAATTCAAACTTCTGCTGCCTTATACTCAATCATGGGAAAGGCTTCGGGGGTCAACCCAAAGGAAAAATCAGGAGCCGGCGACCCTGACAGCGGCATTGCACTAAGTCGCCACGCAGTTTGCAACACTCAGTGCTACACATTGGCAAAGCCTTCGGCGTCGCTTACCCCAAACTGTATCGGCACTTGCCGTTCCTTTGGATACATCAGCTGCGTGGAGAGGGGGGAACTGATGTGTGGGCGACATCATTCCAACCACAGCTAATGTCTAGGCATTCATCTAATTTCCATGAATTATCTATAGTCGCTTCACGAATGAAGGAGGCCATAACATAACATGTCACTTAAAAAGGGAAATGCTTAACGTACAATTTTCTTTGACATATATATTCACATTCAAGGCATGAGAATAATCTCTCACCAAAGAACTACTCGTTATTACCAATGTCTAGTAGAGACGTTAGCAAGAAGATCCATTTAAAAGATTATTTTCAAGAAGATATTACATTGCATTGTCGCCAAAGCGAGACTAGAGTCTTCTACTTTTATGTCGGAGCAATTCCAGATCCCAACTCATCGTGGTTGCCGCGTGAACACCCCTCGTGGGGATGGCCAAGTGGAACTGGTTTTTGGTTACTTGTTTTAAAGGCCACGTAACTAATGTAAAAATATCCACACGTTTCCGCCCCCCAGCGTGTGGGGGATCATGGCTAACCTAGTAATCACTGTATCTGACTCACAAGGTCTTACGGGAGACTAACGTGCTACGATACAGCGCGCTATTAACGTTGAGAGGCCTCTGGGTCAGTGTTTCCGGATACACCGGCATTGCACTAAGCCGCCACGCCGACGCATTGGAAACGAACGTTGAAAGAAACGGTCTCTAAAATTCCCCTCCCTCGAAGAGAAAGCAGGCAATGGGTTCAGCAGTCTTGGGCACCAGCTCAATACATTCAGCTATTGTCTCAACGATGGGGACAGTCCAATTGTCTAACATGCAACCAGTCTGCCCCCCCCCCCCCCCCCGGGGCAAATTTCTCTCTATCATGTCAAAGTCAATAATCGGAAAAGCGCGTATGGGCAGGACCGACGTCTAAGGCCCCGACCATACAACGGCAACAATGGGTGCTAGGTACTAGTAACGTTCGTACGAAATACGCTTACGGCCCGAATTGTGGAATCCAGCGCCCCTGTGAGACGGATACTTTGACAGTTGAGGTGTACAAACATGGTCAGCGATTCACATGCACATACAATCCACCTAAGTCTGAGTAGCGATTCAAACTGCGTGAGCCATTTGACACAAGGATGATCGTTGCCGGTGATTTTAACGCTAAGTCCACCGCGTGGGAAGGCCAGGTGACAGACGTCAGAGGGCGTCGACTACTTGAGATATGTGACAAAACAAATCTGGTTGTCTTGCAGGGTAAGTCTGCCCCCCGACCTATCATAATAATTCTGTTTCCTACATAGATCATGCTCAATAGCAAGAATTACCAAATGTTTCAATCTATCTTTGAGAATTGTTGACCTCAAGTAATTCTTCATTAGTTTGAGGTGCGAGAAGCTTCTTTCACCATATTTCACAATAACGGCTAATGCATAATGCCGTTTTTATTTATCGCGCATAGGATGGGCGTTTTCCATATCGAATGTCATCCCAAAATGACAATATTTGTCTATATATTTCCGTATATTTTAAGGACTTTTTTGTATACTTTGCAATTTCGGGAGATTTCTAGGAGCTCCTGGTAAATTGATAGGAGGGCACGGGAAATCTGTTTTAAGTTATAAAATGGTTTAATTTAATAATTTATACACCTTGAATTAGCGCGGGTCCTATGAAAGTACGGGGCTCACTGCGGTCACATAGGTTTCAGTGGCCTATGGCTGCCCCCTCAAAATAGCGGCGTATGATACGCCGCCGGTCGACTAGTATTATATATAGGCGCTGAGGTATAAAAGACCTCCGTGAGTCCTATTAATAAGTGAATATTATAAAAATCATTTACTAGCCTTATATTTTCTTTGAAAGCGGCCTAATAGCGGCGGCGCACCGCAGGCCCACGGTATGCAATCCAATAAATGGGTGTTTGCCCAAATGCCCATATAGATATAGATATCTAGCAAGTTCTTTTTAAAATAGACGCAGCCTAGGTGCTTACAAATTGCCTAATAGACTCTACTAGCTGGACAAAAAAACATGTGCAAACTATACTGCAGTCATAGACAAAATATATATGGGTCTGTGATTACAGTAACCTTAAAAAAAAAAAAAAGTATTTCCGCCTCCGGTATCATTTAACTACTTTTACTATCATTTAGATTTATCAAGATCTTGACTCGTTTTTAATGTAAAATTTTATTAAGAACAAACAACTGTACACTAGAATCTTATCTACTTATCTATCTAGATCTAGACACTAGATATACCGTTAGACTAGACTACCCCTGCGGCCCGGGCTAAGACGTCAAAGTCTATCTAGATCTACTATCTAGACTCGAATCTAGATAGTCATCTTCTAAATACTACTTATACTAACTTATAGTTATAGTCATAGTGACAGTCTACTCTAACTTCTAAGGCTAAATAAGTAGGCCCAGGCCAGGGGCCCGGCTAGCCGCTACGTGTGACTGAGGCATCCTAAGGGCAAGGCAAACCCCCGCCCAAGTCCTTACAATTTACATTAGTTAGTAGTAATTAGTTACATTAAGCCAAGGGTAATTTCCGTTTGTATAGAGTCAAGTCTAACACTAATATTAAATACTTTCTTTGACAATGAATTGAATGTTGAATGAATAATTGTGCAACGTTTTAACTTTATTCAAGAATCATTAGAATGGGAAGTACTTGAATTAGATTTAAGTGGGGGAAATAATCATATAAATCTAGATCTATAATGATGATTATTATAATGTGTACAAGATTATCTCAAGGCTAAAGACAGACATCCTCTACTTTCTAGATTCTAGTATTCTAGCTAGATATATCTATCTGTAATTAGTGTAATAATACTGTACTGTATAAACGGTATCATATTAGGCCTGTAATAATTATATATAAGTTTAGAGTCTATTCTTCAATTTCTAGAATGTAGTCTAGAGCAAGATCTACTGTCTAGAAATCTATAGCTGTAGATTATAGAGTCTAGATCCTAGATCAGGTGGCTTCCTGGTTGGTGGTTTAGTAGGCTTATGCACTCTGGTCTGGAGTACTGTTCTCCTGATGGCAAATTTTATGGTATCTTGTCCGAACGCTTCCTTCCACGATCCACCTCTGTCCACTGGAAGGTAAGTTAGGATCTAGACTCAAGTTAGCGTAAAAGAAATTAAATGTATCTAAACTATAAAGAAATGGACCTTGCTCTATAACAATGGACAAATCTAACCATAGCTATCAAAACAAAGGCTCATTTTAAACAATAAGGTGGGGTGTTAGTGTTGGCTAAAATCAGAAAATTGGAGTATTAGATAGACAAAAATTAATCTAGATCTAACAATCTCAATTGAAGGAACTGAAAATGTTTACAAAACAACCAAAAACAAAATCTAAATAGCCTAGTTGTAGATCTAATCTAGAATTAATTAAATATCTCAACTAATTAGATCTAGAGTTATATGGGCTTATGGCTATATTCACATGATTTGACACTGACGGCTGAATGACCACCAGGATTAGGGTTGGTACTAGCCAAGCATTATGCTTGACATACTTTAGATGCTCTTGCCCTTGGTATTGTAAACTGTCATGACCATGTCCTCCAAAGCTGCATACAGGCCAAAAAAACAACAACAAACTCTTATTAAATAATCTATAATAGAAAAAAAAACTATTTAGAGCTTCCTGATCTGGAAACCACAGCACACAACAGTCTGAATCAAGATTAGTATTTATAACCCAAGCAGTGTTTCTTAGTCTCAATGTGACGCTCGGGTGGAAATGGTTGTTGTAGAAGATGATTCTTTAGATGAATAGAATTCAACCCTGTTAGGGTGCCTAATGACTGAGTCTATTGCACTTGTGGGGGTGGAAGAAAGCCCCAACAAACATGTACTCAAGGGTATATTTTTATGATGGAACGAGAGACAATAGGGGGAGTATCAAGGTGTGCTCAACCTTTGTCTTGGAATACGAGCTATCAGTAGTAGGGATGTATACAATGTACATATCTGCTTAAATCTTTCCTAGACAGATAGAGAGGGGGGCTTCTGTGTTTCTAGAGTTCTAAAAGCCTTTGACTTGTCTATTTAAATCTAGATTATAGATAAATCTAGATTCTAGCTAAGCCATTCTAAGCCAACCTTTTAAAATTTGCTATTTTTCAGAGTGATAATGACCTATAGATCTAGGCCAATCTAGGCCTAGATAATCATCATTATCATCAAACTCCATTATAGTGAGGGCTTGA